TTGCTTTTGTTTAAAGACAGAACACGGGGGAGAGATGAGGCTCCGACTCCTGTAAAGAGTTACAGTCCGGAGACACACGGGGGCACGTTGACCCTGTTCTCGAGGGGCTTTGAGCCAGCAGTGACTCAGGGGCAGTGAGTTTGCTTTTGGACAGCTCCAAACACAAACACAAACTCACTGTCATCAAATGATTCCGACTCACGTTTAAGACACAGAACTGGAGAGTGTACAGAATATAAGACTAAGCTAGGAGTTGAAGTTTCTCAAGGAGCGAAACAGAAAGCTGAGACAGAGAAAGCAGCTTTGGATCAGACAAAGTAGAGCTAAACTTTAAGGGTGGGTTTGGGAAGGACTCCAAAGAGGAATGGCACATAGTTCTACCCATGTTCTCAAACACCTGGAGAGGAGATGCCCTCTCCTTTAAGGGCGCAGGGCTATCTGAGGAGCTTTTCAAATCTCTGATTTCCACATCGTTTCCCTCCTGGAAAATCTCTCCCTAGAAGGCTCTGATTCATGGTTGTGAATCTCTGCAGTGAGGCATCACTGCCGAGAAGCTGCTTGTGCTGTAAGAGTTAGGGATCCTGAGAGAGGGAAAAGGGCTGATGTCATGTTCAAGGTAAAACTCTACAGCCCTACGCTGTACTCGTTTTATTATATAACAAAGCCTGATTCCCGGATGTGCTTCTAGCCTTCGTGTTTAAGAGGAAGGAGACAAATGTGACACATAGGCGCGCTTCCACTCCAAAGTCCAGTCTATAAAACGGCAGGGTGCTCTGAACCCCATTCTTCAGAACCGTTCCACAAAACAAGCAGCGGCACATACTCTGAGCTTCGATTTCCATATGTGCAAAACGAGAATGATTGTGTTTTCTCTGCGGCGGTGTTAGAAGACGGAATGAGGTAATATTTCTAAGATGTCTAGACACCACATAGTAGGTAGGTACTCACAACACTAAAGAAACTTCTAAAATAAAGAGGCTTTCGAGTTTGATCAAAACTGCAACACGAAATTCTATTAATTGGGGGAAAGTCAGATCATGAATTTTGGCTTTTCAAATATTTAATAAAAAAAAAAAGTGACCTGCCATTTAACATGAGCATACCTGTTCTACACCTTCTACCTCTGGAATATAAAACTGCAGCATGTTCTGAATGCCGTTCTTGAGAGTAATGATGGAGCTGGGGCAGCTGGTGCAAGCGCCTTGGAGCTTCAGCTGTACGATGCCATCCTCAAAGCCTTTGAAGATGACGTCCCCGCCATCTTCCTGCACCGTCGGCCTGTGGGCGCAGAGCGGTAGTTAGGTTCAAAAGAAAAGAAGTTTCATTACACATTTTAAGTAAGGCTCAGGGCTTAAATTGTACATTGGCAAAATCCACAAAGTTAGAACTACTTTGATTAAACACTAGTAACTGTCTTATGTGTGCTTATAATGTCTTTGACTTGTACTTTAATATTCCAAAATTCATCCAAACTAAAACTTATTGTTTCCTTCTCACCAATTAATAATGATCTTTAAGTACTTACAGCTTCAGATTTTCTAATAATTATAGCGGTTACCTAAGATATGCTCATTCACTGCTTTTGAGTGAGGGGGCCGGGGACTGGCAGCCTCTACCTTTTAGGTGTTTTGTTTCAGTGAAGTTTGGTAAGCAAAAATACACAAATCAAGTGTGTGTCCGTGAGGAACTACTGC